ACTCTTATCCTCAGAGGACCGGTGTGGCTGCAGGTTTTCACTCCAACAAAGCAGGAGCTCAACTGATGAAATGTTTGAAGCCTAAGACCGACTGAACCGGAATCGTTCACAGGTGGTGATAGGAACCAGACGTCTGAAGAGTTTAACGCCTCTAGGAGCTTTTTTTGTTTTGGCCTAAAGTGTCTTGTCAATCCATTTATTTGAATCCATTCATGGTGGAGGGCTACATGCAGGGCATTGCAAGGCAAAATAGTTCCCAAAGAATTTTTTAACATTTTCCACAATTTCACCCTCATCTATATTATGTTTATGTATTATGTAAAAGCTAAGAAAACAAGTCTGTATGTTTCTCTATAATGAATCATGTCACATCAAACTGCCCTAAATGACTTTGCTTACATTGCAATGATGAAATTATGCCAAATTTTGTAGAAATTGGTGTAATTCCCCTTTAACATCACATGCACAGGCTTAACAAGAAAATCCAGTTTTATGTTTAGGTCTCAAATGCAAAATCAACATTATAAAGATATGACAGCAACAGTATAGAATTCACTTATATCCTCAGAAGACACCCCCTTCACCAAATTTTGAATCATCAGATTCAACAGAACATCATGAACTAATTAACTACACACATATATACTTTGAAAGCAACTCAGGAAAATCATAACATAGATTTCACAACGTCATAGCTTAATTTCTATATCATTTATCAGGATAAAACTGCAGATGATGATTGTCTAAATTTGCATTATTGTTCATAACATAATTGTGACATAATTCATCATGATAATTATAACATACACCGATCAGGCATAACATTATGACCACCTCCTTGTTTCTACGCTCACTGTCCATTTTATCAGCTCCACTTACTATATAGGTGCACTTTGTAGTTCTACTATTACAGACTGTAGTCCATCTGTTTCTCTGCATACTTTGTTAGCCCACTTTTACCCTGTTCTTCAGTGGTCAGGACCCCCATGGACCCTCACAGATTCCATGGGTATTTGGGTGGTGGATCATTCTCAGCACTGCAGTAACACTGACGCGGTGGTGTGTGTTGTGCTGGCACGAGTGGATCAGACACTGTGGTCATAATGTTATGCCTGATCGGTGTGCACTGCTCATCTCAATATTGTGTTATTCCATAGATGCTGAGCCGTTAGTGCTCCCTCCATTTGATGTGTGAATTTGCATGTTAATCATGGTTCATGTTAGAATTCTTTTACATTCTAGCTCAATATGTACTTAGGAGACTGAGTACTGTTGTACTGTGCTTACACTTATCTCCTAGCCCATTAGCTCCTAGATAAAAGCACCGATCTTCTGCCTTTCTGAAGCTACCCATGTGTAGAATCTCTGAATGTGTTTAAAGACTCTTTAAACAGGAAAACACTCCTCATATCCCAGTCGTTTTAATCTAAAACAAATGTCAAGATGTTCTGCTCGTGTACCGTTTGCATATGATTACAATAACATTAGCGGCAATGGAACTCTAACACACATCTCCCACGGGCCCCGGGCAAGGCGGTTGTAGGGAAGCATCTGCTGAATCCTGAAGCAAACTAAGAAGAACTCCAAATGCAAATGAACAATAGCGCAGATGGTCAACTGAGACAGCTCTCAGAGACTGAAGTGGGTAAAAAAGAATTATTCTCAAGTACAAGATACGAATCACTGTTCTTGTTGCAGAGCTTTGTACAACCAGCTAAATTGGGATCATGGCATTTGAGCATAGTCATAGCCATACACATTGTTGTTGTATTACACTGGAGTGCACAAACCATCTTTGACTTATAACAGGAGAGTCTGTACCAGTTATAATTGCATGCCAGGCACTGTTTATTAAATGTGTTACATGTTAAATGTGTTGAGGTATTCTATGCATGTGCAACCACTTGACACATTTCAAAACCACATAAAATCAAAGCACGTTTTCTTTTTCAGTGTACATTTTTCAGCATTACTTAAGGCAAACTGGTTGATATGGAAAACCCAAGAGCCTCAGCTGACCTAGCTGTACTGCACTGATGAATAAATTACAGTGTATAATTAGCATTTGATGGAAATAAGAGGAGAGAATCGCGAATAATAAAAATGGATGGAAATGTTCATGCAAAGAGAATAGCAATCATAAATGAACCCCTCCAGGTTTATTTCAAACAAAGGCTTACTATTCAGTAACTACAGGGAGTTCAATTCAAACTGGCTGAGATATTCTTAGGCTACAGAAGTATGTAATAAAACTTTGGGCCTGCTGGCAGGCTAATGGCTTATTAAGGGGTTAAAGCGTAATCTGACAATACTGCGACTAGTGTTTTATAGACCCCAGTGCAAAAAAAGAAATAAATAAATGAATAGGCACACGCAAAAAAAATACTTTCAAGTAATACAAAAAACAAGAATGAAATCAGCTTGTTTACTCACTATTGCTATGTATCGAACAAGCTGATATTATGATAGCATGCCTAAAATGTTCACTTATTTAAGATTTTAAAACTATAAATAATGCATATATCACAATGCAACTTGTGAAGGATCAATTTGAACATGGTGGAGATGCATTGTGAATAAGACAGATTAGGGATGCCCAAACTTTTTGTCTCAGAAGGCCAAAGTGCAGTGTTTGTGGTGGGCCGAAATAAATAGACATTAAATAGCCTGTGTAGTGCTGATGAAAACTAATGTGAGGTATGTTGATAAGAAAGTGAAAATTTCTGGGAATCATTGTTCAGTTGAGGGGCTGAATAAAGATTTTAGTAAACACAATCGCTGAAGCCCCCTTGCACCATAAATCCCAGTGTGATTGCCCCTCTTTCCCCCAATGTATTACACCAGTGGAACAGGATAACATAGTTAATGGAATATGCTATTCGAGAGTAAATTGTTGTTGTCAGAAGAAAACCTTGTATCTCCAATTTTGACATTTTTTTGCTTTTGAAATAATTTGAAAATGCCTCTTGCCCTTTATTTTGTATGTGAATATGTACTAAAAGAAATGACCCAAAATGACTTGGAAAAAAGTCTGGTTCCATTGACGTACATTAAACGTAAAGTAGGTTTTTTTTCTTCTCCTGTAAAGTTACCGTTTTGGAAATGAGGTTTTCTTCCGACAACAGCGAAATAAGAAAGTTGTGCCAATGAACTACTGAAAAAGACCACTGTAAAAGACACAATTTTAGTTCAGTGAAAGTAAAAAACCTCTGTAATTGCTGTTTCACTAGGATGGATAGCTGTTTCACTGCTGGCAAGAATGACCAGCGGCGCTGAATGCATTGTTGAGCCATGGCCCAGACATACTTAATGACAAAAATGGCCAGCCATGTAGAAGCAAACAGCTGGGACGAGTCAGCAGCCCAAGTTGCTTTAATGTGCAAACCAAAAATGTGCCCTTTCATTTCAGCTTTATACCATGAAAAGCTCTTATTATTACACCTGATTCACCACAAGAAAGTAATGCTGGTCCTGCTCTACAGCAAATGACCATTACAGACAGCAAGGAACATTAATCTGGGTGAAATCTTTAGACACAGACTAAAGACTACCCATTTTTCAAAGTTGTGTAATTCAGTTGTTGAGATGTAAACAAAGTCATTTAGAGTGGTTTGATCTGAAATGTACGAGAAACTTATTGACTCAGATTTCTTTACAGTGGTGGTGATAGGAACCAGGGGTCACAATGGGCCTCATTCATCAAGAAATTTCTTCTTAAAGCCAATTATGCAGCTTTCAGTTTTCAAGAACACATCATGAATCTGACTTTTTTTAGGACCTTTCTCAAGAACTAATTTAAGAAAAACCTTGGATGATATTGGTAAATGAGGCCCGATGTCTACAACACAAATATAGCCATTTTATTTACTACCCCACGTGTGTTTTTAGTTTTTATTGTTTTTAGTTATATTTAGATATAATGTTGGACAAACAGTATATTTGAAAAAAAATAAAAGAGTTTTATGATCACTATTTTCTCCTTACAGCTCCCTGCATGTACCTCTCCGCCATGAATGTATTCAAAAATATGTTTTAAGCCAAACTCTTATCTGAAAACTATCGTAAAACAGTGTTTTAGGCATCATATAATGTATTATTATTTTTAACCATTTAGTGTAATTGCTTTTGGAGGAATTAAAGGGGAAATCCACCAATTTTTCAAAAGTTCCACACATTGGTTCCACATAATTAAAAGGTTCCAGTGTAAGCAAAGTCGTTCAGAATGGTTTGGTGGGAAATTCTCTGCTCTAGATAAATGAGTCAAAATTGTTCACAGTGGTGGTGATAGGAACCAGATGCCCACCTCTAAAAGCTCCCTCACAGACAATTATTACACAAAATAGTTATGAATACACTGCCTGAAGTCTGAGGCCTTGCTTTACAATAGTTTTGTGAAAAAGCCTTGGCCTTAAATGTCTCGTTAATCCTTTTATTTTAATCCACTCATGGGATACAAGGGAGGGATACAAAAAGGGTGTTGTAAGGCAAAATAGTCCCAAAAAAACCTTATTTTTTCAGTTTGTCCACTATTTTACCATCATCAACATTACATATAAAAAACTTAGAAGAAACTTGTAGGTTCACTGGTGGTTTTGGATAGCAAAAGAAATCAGAGGTGTTTCAACAATGAACTACTTCACATCAAACCATTCGGAATGACTTCGTTCATATATCACCCACAAAAGTATGCCACAATTTATAAAAATGGGTGGAGTTCCCCTTTGAACCTCTGGTTCCATTCACCAATGTTATGAACCGTTCTAACTTGGTAGGTTTCTCTAGGATGGCACATTTCACACAATACTTCTCCAAATACACCTGTTTACATCCTAAAAGATTAATTCTGAAGAAATTTTCCACAATGTTTGTGCATTTCACTGTAACCACCATACATGGAGACACATGGACACATGATAGAAACCCCACCCTGCACATAGCTGGCCCACCTACAGCAGACGACCTGAGAGCAATGTGAGGTGAGTAAAAGGGCAGGACTCTCCTCAGAGGCAGCACCGTGAGGAGGGACGAGCTAAACCCTCAGTGCTAAAGCCTTCAGAGCACTTCAGTCAGCTGACAAGCTCACAGTCCGGAGGCTGTAGTTTTTATCAGCGTCGAGAACTTAAATACAGCCCTAAAAAAGAACGGGGCTATTAGTGAGTCTGCAGGATACGCTTACTTGAAGATTCACACGGTTCATTTAGGAGGAGGAGATGGGCGACGGCTCCGAGTTTTCGACCTGCTGACAGAGATGGAAGGCGTTTATTTTAATAAAGTAGACGCTCGTGAAGGCGTAAAGATGTCTCGCGGCGGATTTACCAGAGGAAGATGAAGTTTCGATGAAGAAGCGGCGACAGGAGGAGGCTGGAGCTGGAGCTGCTGCTGCCGAGAGAAAAGTTCGCCTACAGCCATGTCGACCAACAGCAGCGACTTCAGGAGCCCTGAGCCCAACTTCCCCGCTCTAGTCTTCGGCATATTACTCATTACAGCCATCATCTGCGGCAACGTGCTCGTCTGCCTCAGCGTTTATAAAGAAAAAGCCCTAAAAACGACCACCAACTACTTCATCGTTAGCCTGGCTGTGGCGGACCTTCTACTGGCAGTGCTAGTTTTGCCACTTTATGTCTACGCTGAGGTAAGTCTTCCACAAAAAAATGTCTTTTGATAGCAGTTTTGATAGATAAAATTGTGTAAAACGTAAACTTTTTTCCTGTTAATGTTTGGTTGTTTTGATTGGAATGTCAGGAATATTTGATTGGAATGTCAGGAATATTTGATGACGCTGAGGTAAGTCTTCCTAAAAAAATGCAGTTTTGATAATTAAAATTGTGTAAAACATAAACCCTTATTATGTGAATATTTGGTTGATTTGGAATATCTTGAATATTTATTTGGAATATCTGGAATATAACAACGCTGAGGTAAGTCTTCCACAGAAAGTGCAGTATTGATAGTTAAAATAGTGTAAAACGTGAATCTTTCCGTCTTAATGTTTGGTTGAATTTGGCATATCTGGAATATTTGATTGGAATATCTGGAATATTTGATTGGAATGTCTGGAATATTTGATGACGCTGAGGTAAACACAGTTTTGATCATTAAAACGGTGTAAAACATAAACCCTTATTATGTGAATGTTTGGTTGATTTGGAATATCTTGAATATTAGATTGGAATATCTGGAATATAACAACTCTGAGGTAGGTCTTCCGCAGAAAGTGCAGTTTTGATAGTTATAATAGTGTAAAACGTGAACCTTTTCATGTTAACGTTTGGTTGAATTTGGAATATCTGGAACATTTGATTGGACTATCTGGAATATTCGACGACTGGTGGGTTTTCATACAAGTTCTACCCTATTGAGCTGTAACGAACCACATCCTAAGTCAATTTCTTCACTGAATGAACCCACGCAGGTGCTCAAAGAAGAGAAACGACATACTGATTTATTCAGCAAAGTGAATAAAATATGAAAATACTCTATATTAACAATGTTTTTTGGACTTATACATAAAAGCAGACATATGTGGCTGATATGAGTGAGGAAAAAAGGCATGCCTGCCCGTCCTCCTCCCTCTAATCAGTCCTCCTGATTTAGGCCACTTATCTGATCCTGTTAGCCTCAAGTTACCACAGGTTTAATCTGTCCAGCTTGTTGCCCATCAGCACTGTCTAATGGTGCTTGAAGCAGGCTTAATTCTCTGAGTTGAAATATTGAAAGTCAACCTTGGGCTAAAGGTTTAGGGTGCAGAGTCAGGCTCCCTTCAGTCCACAGCTTTACATGTTCTCCTGATCTCCTGAGTTTGCAGCAGAAACTGAGGAAAATCTCTGAAATAGGGCATGGATAAGCTGATTGACCTTCAGCCTGTTTGTGGTAGTGGCATGCTTTATTCATTTGAAATGCAGCCTTGTGCAGGCAATAAATGAAGCCATGATTAAGTTTGTGCAGCATTAACATGCTTTGTATCACATTGTGCTCTGTCTAGTTTCAGGGTGGTGTCTGGTCCTTGAATATAGTTGTCTGTGACTGGCTGATGGCTATGGATGTCATGCTTTGTACAGCCTCTATATTCAACCTGTGTGCAATCAGCATTGACAGGTTTGTGTTTTTATCCTGTTTTTATCTGTCTGTTACAAGGAAGTTTAGTATGAATTATAAGAAGAGCTGAACAATTTGTAATGTGATATCTGTGTGACTTCTGGTGTCACTGGAGGTCACAGGAATTTTATGCAAAGCATCTGTATACTCAAAAAAACAATGGACCAATGCACTGCAGTTTAATTTTGAAGGGTCCATATTGTAGTGAACTGAATGTTCCTTATTTTCTGATGACTTTGATGTAGTATATGAGCATTCTTAAAGTTTCAAAATGAACCGTTTACTTCCCAGTGCAAACAGTCTATATATGGAAACTAAGCTGAAAAAAAGTCTGTTTCAAATTTGTTGTTTTTGTGATGTCACGAAAGCCAACACATTTACATGTATTTGCCTATTCAGCCTACAGCAACTTAGCCCCACAATTCACATAAAGTTATGAGGTTGTAATGTTAAGGTTATTAGGAGTGTTTCAGCCCAGAGTGCTTTTTGAATGAGGTACAAACAGAACAGAGCTCATTTACGTAGGCCACATCAGTCTTAAAGGTACAGTGGCAAAAACAGCCTGTATAATTATAAAGGGAAGTTGGAAATGTAGATGTAAAATTAATTATAACTGTTTTACCAATGATATGAGTGGATTTCAGTGAAAAATAAAATATGAAAAAATAAAAAAAAGATACTGACTCTTTTTTGAAATCATAATGTTGAATATGAGTGCAGAAGTAATAATAATGGCTTGTTATTCAGTTGATAATTACTATATAACATGTAAATTATGTAGTTATAAGAGAAAAAAACAAAATTGTGGGCCACAGTGCTTTGCATTGCACGTCATAAATAAATCAAGTTCATACACTTTGTTTTTTGTTTGTACAAATATGTAGTAAGTTTAATACGTTGAATAGGCATTCGGAATTTAACAGTCTATAATGTGTTGTGGTTCACATGCTGTTTAGCTGAAGCATGTTGGTGGTACTCTATGTTTTCTTCTGCATCTCCCCTTGACAGGTTCATAGCAGTGTCCATACCGCTGAACTATAATCGAAAACATGTTGACCATCGGCAGATCATCCTGCTCTCCGCCACCTGGCTCCTCGCCTTTGCTGTGGCCTCCCCTGTTATCTTCGGCATAAACAACGTACCACAGAGGGACCCAAAGGAGTGCAAGCTGGAGGACGACAACTACGTGGTGTACTCGTCCGTTTGCTCCTTCTTCATTCCCTGCCCCATCATGCTGCTGTTGTACTGTGGGATGTTCCACGGTCTCCGTAGGTGGGAAGAGGCCCGCAAGGCCAAGCTGAGGAACAGCATCCAGGCCTGCCGGAAGTTGCAGCATGCCGCAGTGGCTGCTGCCCTGCCACCCCTGGCCGCCCTGCCGGCCTCGCTGCCCCGCGTCATTGAGCAGGACCTGGCCCAGTGCAGCGTCGACGACCTGGACGATGACATGCAGCCAAGCTGCCCTTTGCCACCAGAGTACAATAACAGCCCCATTCAAAGTGTGGCCTACGCAGAGTTACAGAATTCAGGCCAAAGGAAAAAGAGGGCCAAGATCAATGGCAGGGAGAGGAAAGCCATGAGGGTCCTACCTGTTGTTGTGGGTGAGTGTTTAAATCCAGGACTGAGAATAAATTAAGGATTGTGCAACCTGTCATAGTAGTGCAAGATAGTTATTGTTAATTGTAAGTTTTGTAAGAAAAAACGAAATGATAACTGTACATGAGAAGGGACTTATTTAGGAATTCCATTGATTTTTCAAAATTTCTACATAATTCAGTCATTGGGATGTGAACAAATTCATTTAGAGTGGTTTGATGCAAAATGCTCTGGTCCGATTTCTTTGCAGTGGTGGTGTTGACATATACACCACAAATATAGTCATTTTATTTACTAGCTAAATGACCAGTGAGTTTTTATATGTAGTGTTGATGATGTTAAATTAGCGTTAAAACTATGGTAAATAAATAAATGTTTTCTTTGGGGACTGTTCTGCCTTACAACACCCTGCATGTGCCTCACCACCATAAATGTTTTTAAAATACATTTGGGCCTAAAATCTTATTTCAAAACTATTGTTAAACAATGTCTCAGACATGGTGTAACGTATTTGGAGACATTTTTTAATAGCTTTCTCTGAGGGAGCTTTTAGAAGCACTTAACTCTTCAGATATGTGGTTCCTGTCACCACCACTGTGAATTCTGATTGGCCTAGAACAGAGTATTTCACAACAAACCACTCTGAATGACTTTGTTTACTTTAAATTGCTATGTTAACATTTAATTATGCAGAAATTTTGTAAAATATATGGAATTCCCCTGTGACATGTTTTAATATGTCATAAAATGCTTAAAAGTTTTATTTTTCAGAATTACTGCTGGTCCATTGGTGAAATTGTTGCACAATGTAAAGAGCAGCTACCATTTTCAAATATTAAAAAAAAAAAGAAAAACATAATTTAGGACATTTTCTTATGGCAGCAACATGATGTTTCAGACTTCTATTAAAAAGGCATAAACCAAAAGAGATGAGAATATCCAGACACTGTTCAGTCTGGGGCCAGACATTTCTCCTTCATTTACAAAATTTACCTAGGACCTTTGAAACACCCCGCATAAATAATTTGAGTCATTTTCTCTACGTCAGCTAGATAGATTAAATTTTTTATGAATACAGTTTTGAGTGGTTTTTGGCCACGGGTGTGTCTGTCTTGCACTGGAAAATACTTAAAATAGTTGAAAATCACCCAAAAAATGCATCCTGGTAAGTGTGTGTACTTCCCTCTGTTTGTCAAATGCACAACACCTACCTACCTGCACAAAACTTGTAGTGATGTGTATAATGTATCATTACATTACTGCTAACTCTCTAAACCTTTACCTTTTAGAGAACTTTTAGAAAAAAAATCTAGTGTCAGAAAGGTCAGTAAAGACCAGTTTGAACTGAGTGGCTTGAACTTCACACTAGTACTTTGGAAGGAGCTGTACATGTTTGCTTAGACGATCCATTAACAGAGATTGCTATGCACTAAAGATACCACTGAATGTATCAATATGTTACACTAATATATTTCTATAAATGAAGGACATGCGTATCAAGTTGCTTCTGTTACAACTATAAAGGTTGGTGATGAAAACTTGAAAATTTGATGAAAAACTTGAGCCAGCTAACCCACACAGTCCCCCCCTCCCCCCAACACTACACTGAACTCCTCGCTTTTATTATATAGGCCCTATAGAAATACAGTTGTAACTTCCATTTATTATTGTCGTTGTTTAAGAATATGTCTGCAGGTATTTTATTTATTTTTTATATACTCAGTCATACTCATAGTGATCACTGACCTCAGTAATCATCTCAACTGAAGTCTGTGCAGGTATATTAAGTGTTGTGTTGTGTTATCTGAACATGCAGCTCGCATTTTGTAATGTCAAACATGCTTTAGAAAATGTACATCGTCCCTCTAGAATTGACTTTTTACAGTGTATCAGATTTAATGCTGCACTCTGAGGAATTTATTATTGTGTACACCATTTAGAGGCTAGCTGATTTTGCATAGCGCATATTTTGGTCAGCTTTTTAAATGTCAGTTCGTGTGCTATCAGTTACTCCAGTATTGATTGATAATGCTGGGCAGTGTAATCCCATTACATAATACATAGATGAGTGTGGTTTGGGCTTTTACTGCGTTGATACTGTGTAGCGCATCTTCTTATACACATCTGCTTATCTTTCTGGGTCGCGGGGGGAGCTAGAGCCTATCCCAGCAGTCATTGGGTGGAAGGCAGGGTACACCCTGGACAGGTCGCCAGTCCATGGCAGGGTGTGATATGCAGATTGTCATAATTGCATCTAGTGACCAACGAAACTGTCACATGAGCTGTTGCATTCAGCATGTGCGCACTGTTAAATGACTAACTATAGGCTAAATCCTTAAATCCAATTGCTATGTAATGTTTTCATGGTGTCTTAAGCTGATTTCAGCCCTCATTAGCACATAGATGTACAGAGGTGATTAAAATGCCACAGGGTTAGGAATCATTTTCACTGAAAATTAAATGAAAACATCAAGCTTTTAGGTACATCGCAATCATAATATTGTAGGAATAATTCACTTTTAGGCATTAAGTTGTCAGTGTGGTAGTCAGTTCTTTTGACTCTTCATGAGTTAAGCAGTCCATTGATACATCCTGTACTTTGATACATTAGATCATTCTGGGACATGAATACGATATCTTTAATAATTTTTGAAAAGTTTACCTGTACTTTTCTTTTTTAAACTTGTATTTTATTTGTTTTTAACAGTAACAACAAAAAACAGTTTCCTCTAGGATTTTTTCAGCAGTGGTGACACATGTGGTACACATAGCGGAAACACTGAAAAGTAAGACACCATTGTCAACACCAGTAATAGTTATACTTTTACACTTTTTGGTTTGCAACAGTACTGTGCAAATATCAGTTACGACCAATCACATATATATTTTCCTGTCAAAAACGGCTATTTAGTACAAGTTTTTCAGGAGATATTTCTTGGGAAATTGCATAATGAAGTGAAAAAGAGAGATTATAAGATATAGATATATAAAAGGAGACTCCTTCACCATTAGATAAACAGTATTTTCATCTTTGATAGATAGGGGAAAATTAAGCTCTGCTCTTGCTTTACAGTACTTTGGGTCTGAACGGATGTGTAGCTGTCAAGAAGCTGTTACTGAGAAAAGAAAAAAATATACAAATCAGACAAAGAGGCTGATGGTGTTCTCAGAACAATGTACTGGCCAGAGTCCAGACCTCAGCATCACTAAACGTGTTTGGGATTATTTGGATTGTGAGAAACAGAAAATGCAACCAACTTCCGAGACTGAACTTTGGAGGAGTGGAAAAATATCCCTGCAGATTTCTTTGAAAAACTGAAAGCAAGTCTCCTGAAAAGAATGGAAGTTGTAATAAAGGCAAAGGCTGGACACACTAAATGCAGAAAAAAGTCATATAATATTTAGTTGTAGAGGCTTCTGTGTAACTTTCTGTTCAATAAATGTTTTCTAATTTTTACCTGATGATGAAAAATGGATAGTTTGTGCTTAAAGGCTGTTTGACCAGAAATTCTATAAATAAAGGGTGGTCTCAGACTTTTTCAGTATACCAAGGCCATTAGGCCTAATCAACGCCTTTTAGTTTATAGTATGTGAGTAGTATATGCATAGGATTCCTTTTTCAAAACAAACAAAATGATCAAATGGCATTAACTTCATGTTTTAACCTTAAAGAACTTTTTCAAAAAGCATGCTACACTTTCTCCTCCAGAGTTCCACTCCAGTGGGTATTTATAGAAATCTCATCTTCATTTTTTGAATAATTTAGGATGCCATAGATAAAACTCATTCATAGATCGTCTACATTGAGGTAGTTTATACAGTCATCTGAAGGTTTTCATTACATTATTTGTGTTGGCAAACTAACGTTAGTTTCACAATAGACTTATATGCCAGGGTTATATAATGGAGAATTAATAACTGTGACGCCAGTGGCATTACTGAATTATCCAAAGCTTTCTGTGCAAACTGGCCACCTTGCTGGAATTCTGGTTAATTCTAAGACCCAGCTTCCTCATCTTTTGTAAGAAGGGGAGAGGGGGCACACTTCTATCAGGGTTTTTCAGATTTTGTACCTATTTGAAAACTATCACAGTTATCTTGTCATATTTAAAATTATTCTTAACAGTTCCTTCAGTCAAATGGTCTAAAATAGGAACTGAATATAACAGACCTCTTAAAGAAGTTTTCCAGCGTATTTCAACCTAATCTCTATCTGCTACATCTGCAGCTTACAGTTGATTACCACAGACAGTAATTTAGATAATTTAGTAACATGAAATGTTTAGAGGAGGTCGATATGGCAAAGATATGATATCATGCTACTTAAAGACATTTTCATGATACTTGATATGCCTCACAGTACATTGACACACAGACACTGCACTAAATCTGTTTAAACAGGACTAATTACGCTCTCTTTTTAATGAAACATGCAGTCGGTCAGAGTTCTTTAAGTACTGACAGTATTCTCAGTGTGCTAGAAAAGCATATTGTTTGTCATAATAGGAGATTTATCATGATAACAGTAAAACTTCGTCATATTGCCTGTCTCTAATGGTAATCACCAGGTCTGGCAGCTAGAGATTAGGTTTAGTTTTCCTTTAATGGAAGCAGCAAATGTTAAACTGTGCTCATTTCTGTGTTTGCAGGTGCTTTCCTTTTCTGCTGGACTCCATTCTTCGTGGTTCACACAACACGGGCCCTGTGTGAGTCATGTGAAATCTCCCCCCACTTAATGAGCACAGTGACTTGGCTGGGTTACGTGAACAGTGCGCTGAACCCTATCATCTACACCGTCTTCAACACAGAGTTTCGCAGGTTCTTCCGCAAGTTTCTACACAGCTGCTGCTGACACCCCCACCAAGCCAGACGAAAATATGATGCCATAAATGATCCTGAAGAATGAGCGTGAAGTATCTCGTCACTGTTAGGACAAAACCTTGTGTCTTCATTCTTATATAATTTGAAAACTCCAGCTGCTCTTTACATAATGTGAACGTTATATAATGAATGGACCAGCAGAAATGGTCCTTTTTTACATTAACTTCCATTATAAGTTAAGAATGTTTTTCCCTCTCCTGAAAAGTTACTATTTCGGAGATATGAGCTTTTATTCCGACGCTGACATTATGTCAATATACAGTATATAAAACATTCGCACATATCTGTGTACCTACATTGTTTTACTTACTCTTATACTATTGCCAATACTTTATCTGCCTGCGACAGCAAAATGTATGTTTGGCAATTGATTGTGCCTAGCTTTTACTATGTCCACGTTTTATGTGGAGGACATTTTAAGTAAAGATGATGTATACTCAATGATGCTATGATGCACTTGTTAAAATTTGCTTCGAACCACTTCATATTTGATATGAATGTACAGTTTCTTCAGCATTGCAATAGAACATGCCAACTTATGTGTTGGACTGCATCCTGATTTTGGCCTTGTTTACAAAGTTTATGTGAAACTGGTTTAACGTATTGGTATCTATAACAAAACCCCTCCACCGAAATGTAAAGATTTAAGGATATTAGCCTTGAAATTATCCAGCAGCTGCTATGAAGTATTCAGAAATGTCTGGGAAACTAGTTTGAAAGTATGTACACTTCTGTGCAAAAAATAGGCCTAGTGCAAAATGGCAAATTATTAAGGTCTTATCGGTCAAATCATTAGTCAGTAAATTAGCAAGAATTAAAGAAATAGACAAAATAGATCTTGGCAATATGACAATATGATAAATTACATCACCGTGTGTCACAGTGTGCTTTACTGGGCATATCTTGTGTATCGCGGTACTTAAAAATCACTTTCCAACTAAAAGAGAGTATAATTAGTCCCGTTTAATTAGAATTAGTGTGTGAAATGTTGAATACAAGTAATTGGATAGTCACAGTTTTAAAAGTATTTTTCAAATGTGGCACTTCTTTTTACGTCCTAACTTCAGAAAAAATAAACATTGTGACACATTGTGTATTGTAATAAAAGTGTTGTGATATTACATTTTGCTACATCGCCCCGCTCTAAGATAAAGTAATCTAGTATCGGGTAGTTTTTACCTTTGACTTCTTTAATTGTTGAAGTCTTGTGGGTGAATTTGCAGACTGCTGTTTACAGAAAGAAGAGTTATTATCGGTCCACTCAGCATTGGTGGCTTCATACAGTTGAAAAACATTACCAAGCTAGTTTGGGTTTAATGTAAAAATATTCTCTATTGGCTTTAAATCTGGACTCTAAGCAGGCCATAACCATTAGTAAAGGCAATTAGTATTTTAGGCTTGGTCCATTTTTTTTTTTGCATTGTAGTGTACAATCATGTGCCCTGGTCAAATTATGTGTTTGAAGTGAGAACAAGTCAACACATCCTCTACAGGGAATAAACATAAGTACAAAATTTTCTGCACGTTAATTCACAATTTCTAGTTATTTGTGAAGTTTAATGTTATTGAAAAAATATATATATAAAATGTGGCACAGGCACAGTTCTATTTTCCCCCCAGTATGTAAAATTTAGCAAATAAACAGTATTTGTGCATTAAAATGTGCAGAAGTGTGTTCTCTGCAGAGGATGTGTTAACTTATTCTCACTTACAAAATCAACAAAACAGGTCATTTGACCAGGGCACCCAAACTTTTGCACTCAGCTGTAGCTATGAGATTGAGGTTTGTCTGGACAAGCTGGTGGGTTTTTTGAGTTTAAGGTCGAAGTACAATGTACAGCATACAAGTGTTTTAGATATATAACATATCGTTAAGACTGAAACTACACAGGAGCTAAAACAGAATCAAGCTCTTTATACTTCATCCACGAGCATTTTAAAATTGCACCATCTCATGCTGAGAAGTGGCAGAACTCCAGACGGAAAAAAGGAATATCTGTGTGCTCCTGATTGGCTGAGACTGCAGCTCTCTTTAATCAGCAAGGCAATGAAATTACAAGGCTCTCTACCTTAATGAGCTTTGAAATTGGGGCTCTTGTAGCACAGAAGAAGGCTAAACATACATTATGGAGACACCAAAACATCAGAAACTGTCTAATTAAGTCCCCTCAAAGCCCCAAAGGATTTTACCAGATTTTAAGTCTTGATAGATTCCCTGTGGAATACATTAGATGGCACACCATATTCTCATCTGTGCGCTGTGCGAGTGTCAGTAAAGGAATGGGCACCTGGGCAGAAGCCCCACTTTTTCTTTTCATGCTGAATAATAGATAAAATGTCTGCATGATCAAGTGAACCCCTGCCAGTCTGCTGATCCGAGGCATTTCTGGGGGGAGTCGTGGAGAAGATGTGACCTTGAGCCTTGTTTCGCGGTCCTGTGCAAAGCGAGGGGATAGCACTGACCTTAAGAGACCCAAACAAAAAAGAGATGATAAATTTCATGTTAAACTGACTCGTTAAATCATACCATTACACGTGTTCATGAGTTGCCTTATTTCCAGAGATTATGCAACACTTTAAAGGGGAATTACATTTCTTCATAATTGAATGGTTAACATTTAATTATTCATTCAGAGTAGTTTGATGTGAAGTGCTCCATTCTAGAAATATTTATTGAAGCAGAATTGTTCATGGTGATGGGAACCAGACGTCTGAAGAGTTTTAATGCCTCTAAACGCTCCCTCACAGGAAATTGTTACGTGTTATGGTTACTTTACCTGGTGTCTGAGACATTGTTTTACGCTGGTTTTGTGATAAGCTTTTGGTCTTTTGAACTTTTTAAGCTTTTTGAATGTATTTTTAGAATCCATTCAGGGCCTTATAACACACAGGGTGTTATAAGGCGAAATAGTCCCCAAAGAAAACTTTCCTTTTTCAGATTTACCACCATATTACCATCATCAACATTACATATAAATCTCAGAAGATGTGTAGGTCCGCTGGTGGTTTTGGATAGTAAATAAAGTGGCTATATTTGCAGTAAAGACATCATGTCCCCTGGTTCCTGTCACCACCACTGTAAAGAAATCTCAGTCAGTTCCTCAACAATGAACTATTTCACATCAAACCACACTGAACGAGTTGATTTACAAATCAACCATTGACTTATGCCAAAATTTAGAAAAATTTAAATCAGTTATCACTACAATATTGTATTCTTAGAGATGATGTTTTGCTAAATGGTGAACAAAACCATAACTGGCATTTAAATCAAACATGTAAAGGGCCATTCTGGCCTAAAACTAGAGTTTAATATGTCGATTGTCGTGCCATATATGTAATATTGTGTATTGTAGCATTGCATCCCTCAGCCTCATTGGTTTGACAGAACTCAGATTTTTTGGTTTCAGCCATCAGTATTTTCTAACTACAATACCCAGCATGTATTACACAAATACAGCATACAAACACTGAAAATCAAAATGGCAATAAAGAAAAGCTGACTGCTAGTCTAGCTAATGACATAGAGGCTCATATACACACCTAATGGCCAGGCAGCCATGGGAATAATAATCAAACGGCCCATCAATCAAAATCCACCCCAAAGCAGTTGTAGTTTTCCTTCTACCTTCAAGAAACATCATCAGAAGGGGGTTTTCCTAGTCTTTAAATTAGAAAAAAATCATTCTAGAGACTTTTTCGGCACTTATGCATGTGGCGAATGTTCATGTGTACAACAGATGAAGTGATGGTTACATGTTTGGCTCTGGTTAGAGTGTCCCTTTAAACCATGCAGTCACTCAGATGTCTCCAAACGTGGAGGCATTTGCTTGCTATTTCAGCATATTATACTTACTACTACTTATTACTACTGTAAAAACAAATTTAAAGATGCACTAAGTGATTGTACAACAACAAAATGGTGACCCAAAGTTAGTGTAATCTAACTTTTAGAAGAGTCGACCTTCAGTGACCCCAAGACCTGTCTCACTGTGGGACTGTTAGCATTGCTTATGTAGATAAATGGCTATTTAAATTCATGCAAATAGTTTGCTTGATTTGGGCAGATAATGAATCAAAGATGACCATACTGAAAGTGAACTGTTTCATTCTTCTTCTTCCTCCTATCATCTATAATTGCTAGAAGGTATGCTATGTCCCACTGTGGTTGCTATGGTAGGAGACCACCCCTCATTTAAAAAATAATAATTGAATCCTCAGTTGAAATGACTATTAAGTACAAGTTATTCACTTTTCCGGGGCTACGTCTGAGGAAATTAGACATAAGGCAATTCACTTGCAATAGGAAGAGGGAAAGAGTTCAAAAATGTATTAAAAGTAACAGAAATAATGGGACACAACCACCTGCAAGTCCTGGTAGACTCACCAAAACTGTCCCCATCAGATAAACAGTACCTGAAGCTTTTGTCTTTGAGAGAGAGGAGAAAATCAAGCTGCTTCAGGTCTGAAAACATCCACAGGTGTTTCTGTTCATTTCTGTCCTTCCACTGTGAGAAGACGACTCAGCACTATGAGTCTGAAAGGATGTGTAGCTGTCAAGAAGCCATTACTGAGAAAAGAAATACAAAACATTTGCGAATCAAAGAAAGAAGCTGCTCAGAATAATGGACTGACCACCCCAGAGTCCAGACCTCAAGATCATTTAATGAGTTTGGATTGTGAGAAGAGGAAAATGCAACCAATTTCTAAGACTGAAATTTGAGATGTGGGAAAAATATCCCTGTCGATTTCTTTAAAAAAACTGAAGGCAAGTATCTGAAAAAGAATGGAAGCTGTAATGATCACAAAAGCCAGATGCACTAAACACTGAAAAATGTTTAGTTGTTGAGGCTTCTCTGTAATTTTCCTGATGCTGAAAATGAATAATTTATACTCAGTGGCTGTTTTGACTGGAAATAAATGAAGCATGGTACTTTTACACAGTGCTACATACTTACATTAAATCTGTGTTATATGCGCGTGCGCTCCATTCCTTATGAGAGGCAGAATCTCTAAGCTTCAAAGAGATTCAGCAGAGGTGAGAAGAAAGCGAGTTGTCGCTCATTAAAACCTGTCATTTTTTTAGAACTCTACAGATGAAT